CACTATGGAATATGCCTTATTTAAAAACTACAGCATGTACACCTTCCCTATAAGGACACTTCACCCTACTATGGAATATGCCTTATAGGACCAAACCAGTGTACACCTTCCCTATATGGACACTTCACCCCTCTATGGCACATGCCTTATATGACATCATCCGTGTACACCTTCCCTATAAGGACACTTCACCCCTTTATGGCACATGCCTTATATGACCTCATCCGTGTACCCCTTCCCTATAAGGACACTTCTCCCCTCTATGGAAGATGCCTTATATGACCTGAACCACGTGCACCTTCCTTATAAGGACACTTCACCCCACTATAGACCATCCAGACATATATAGCACATTCTACCATATCACCCTATATAGCCACTACTTCCATATAAAGCACAGAGGCCAATCCCAAAGGTCAAAGGTCACATTCCTTATATGGACCAATCATCCTTATTTGGAAAGGCCAAAGGTCACAGCAAAGGTCAAAGGTCAAATGACATCTTCCATATATGGACTATTCATCCTTATATGGAAAGGTCAAATGTCACAACAAAGGTCAATGGTCAAATGACATCTTCCATATATGGACTATTCAGCCTTGTATGGCAGCTCAAAGGTCAAAGGTCAACTCAAAGGTCATCTGTCATATATGGACTATTCTTCCTTATTTGGCAGTCAGGGGTCAAAGGTCACTTTTGTCCCAGAACCCCTACCGCACTATACTACTTCCATCCAACACATTATGTATCAGCAGATGGTGCTTCCTCTGGCATTTCGTGCACTTCGAGCCTGACAGACATTCCCTTGCCATATGGCCATACTTGAGGCAGTTCCAGCAGAGTCTCTCTCGCTGCATAAAAACCTTTCTCCCTTCCTTTGGGAGTGACTTCAGCTGCTTCTCTGCGTCTGCGACCGATGTCGCCATGCACTGCGCCGACGCAGTGGGCCTTGGCACTGATCGTTCCATTGGCTTTCCGGCAGTATCACCCTGTCGTATGTGCGTGACCTGGAAAGATGCGCCCTGCTCCTGAACCTGACGCTGATACATCCGTAGCACTGCCGTTCGATCAGGTACGTCTTCACCTCAGGTCCACATTGATCCAAGATCAACTGCTTTGCCATTGGCATTGCTTGCAGCACAGAGGCCATATTACCTATATCGGCGCTATACTTGGTGTCCACCTCGCAATTTTCCGTCATAGCGAGTGTGGCCCACACCTCTACCTCTCGGCAAACACGGACAACGTATTGGTGAAAAGACTCCTCTGACCGCTGCTTGCCTATCAGCAAAGTCTTCCACGCTTTATCTGGCGTCTTTCCGAGCGAGGCAAGCAACTCCCGCTTTGCTTCCTCTTTGTTATTGAGGCCAATACAAATCCTCTCCGCTGTGCTACCCGCTAGCGCGATACGCAATCGCAGCAGCCATTCGCTTTCTTCGAACACGTTCTTGGAACAGATGTCCTCGAACAGGCCGAGATAATGCTCCAGTGGCTGCGTTCCATCATATGGGGGGATTTTCATCAACGGTTTACGCCCACCGCTGTGACAGGGAGCTTCCACTATACCTCCCATTGCACTCTCTCTGGCGGCTTCACCATCACCGTCATCCGCCTTGGCGATGCGCTTGTTTATCTCCTTGAGCTTTTTGTCAAACTCGGTGCGGAGCGCCTCTTGCCGTCTGGCACTGCGCTCCTCACGCTCCTCGCACTGTCGGAGCCTCTGCTCCACATATTCCACCAACTTCTCGCCTTCCAATTCTAACCGAATTCCATTGGCGATAAAGATGGCTTCCAAATTACCTAGTTCCTCTGCCATGCTCGCTTTAATCCTGACCTGGTCGCCAAATGTTGTGAACCCTGAGGCCTCTGGTTCTCTAAAGTGCCAGGAATGAACAACCACACCGCACGAGGACAGCTATTGAATCTTAATGGTATATTTCACTTGATCGAATATAATAACTATAACACTAATATCACCAGCTATTTATAGCATGCAAAAACAGCGTACATGTATATAAAAAAACATACACATATAATTACACAGAGGGTGTGCGCCTTAACCACATATAATTATAACATGACACGACAGCGTATACAGCAAGCCGCACACAGCGCATATAGCGCATGCCATGAAGCAAACATCAGCGGTACGGCGGGTTCGAGATACAACATTGCAACGAATACACTGTCACAAGCGACAAGGCCTTTCCCACTCGAGAACTGGTGGTTTGTAACAATGTCAAACCTGGCCCGTATGGAACTGCTGGTTGTTTCCGTAGCTGTTGTTGCTGCTGCTTTCAAGGCTGGCTGAGAAAATGAGCTGGATAGTGACCCCACCAATCATTCGCCCTGTCCACGTGAGATAGAGGCCATCGGCCACATGTAAGACATTCAACAGGACCAGACTGCTCCTTCACCGGCTTTACTCGCTCCACTGCACACTTGTGTCGCACCACGTAGCAACATACATGTACACACATGCATAAATCCCCCCCCCCCCCCTCCCCCCCCCCACACACACACAAAGAATGAAACAGTTTTGTTCACAGACTGAGTACATACATACACACACACAGCTTTTTCACACAGCGCTACAAGACCCATCCTCTCTTGGCATATATACGGACATGGCCAGTGCCATCCTCATGTTGCCCGATGATTGCGAACCCATGAAACTTTAGGTAGCGACAGACAACTTTTGATTGCCCTTGTTGGCCTGTATTACGCTCTCCCACTGCGGTGTTGAGCACTGTCAGCACAGTGGGTGCATCCTCCGGCACATACATATACATACAGTTCAGCACTCTGGCGCTAGAGCAACGAATTGTCTTAATTTCTGTGGTTCCACCTTTGTACCATGGCCGGCAACTCGACTTACTTAAAAAGCTCGTAGCTGTACTGATAGGGCATGATTTATGGCCGAAACAGCTAGCTGTGTACAGCGTTGGGTACATATACATACATATATTCACACAAGGAAAAGTAACCTATGTAATGAGAAGCAGATTAGATCCACATTCAAGCTGTTAGCTAGGTCGTCAAAAAAATTCCTTAGTTATGCCCATTGATTGTCTATTGCTGTTGCACTTTCAAAATGCTGATGTTCAAGAACCTGATGTGGTGTAACACAGTGCATATTGCATTTGGGCATGCCTCATTCATTGTACCTTGTATGGAGGGATGCCAGTGGTTTGGGAACAGTAGATCATGTAGTTTAGGTTCGGGCCACAGTGGGACCTCCTTCTAAATGTCAAAGCATTTTGTTTCCACTAAAAACGTTCTTAAAAGTGTGAAAGAACAGTATTCCTCAGCGCATCCATACTACAAATTTGTACTTTTAAAAGTATGTCCATTAAGAAAGTGTAATTCTAAAATATATATTTACTTCCTCCCCGCAACCGAAATTGTCGCTTATCTTCACACAATGAAAACATGATTGTTCTTCACTCGAGTGATAGTTTTGAACAAAGTCAAGTGGCACAACATTAGTACTGTACAGAAGAAGCGGTCCGAGAACATATCTCGAGTGGAGCATTCTCTCTATCAGCATTTTCGCCGACATATTCATTACACTGACGGTATCCCATCTCCTTAATTACCAGATTTTGTATTCCTCGATCTATTTCCTTAGCCTATCCTTGCTTTAACTGCTCCCTCTACATAAAGTTGTCATTCCATTCCTCTTGCAAGAGATCCCCTCGACAGGCCCAAAGCCTTTGGGAAATCCTTAAATATAATAAAATACAACTGTTCCGAGAACATTGGAACTCACAACGGAAGTTAGCTCTCAATTTCAATTCCACGCTCATCACTTTCCGATGTTGTGACGTCACTGTCAGGACGCTCTGCATGCACCTTTTACTAGGGCATTGGTCAGCGAATCTCTCGCGCGATCAGAATTCTCCACTTCTGTGCGAGGGTAGGATTAGTTGTGCTTATCGCCTTGCCTGTCAGACTTCGCAGGAGCTGTATGACTGCCAGTGTGATTGCTGTAGGTGTTTTTGCCCCTGCTTGACAAAATCCCCTTGAAGGATGCAAAGAGAACCCTCCACACGGATTCCATTCGCTCGATTGGATACTTGTTCCAGCAAAGCTCGCTGACGCTGATCAGGTCCTTCACATTTTCTTTGTGACGAGGTCTACGTTGGACTGCAAAGAAGCGAAGAAGGCAAAATCGTTGGAATTTAGGTCCGGTGACTGTGCGGGCTGTGTCACTACCGCTATTTTGAAGGCGGCTTTTGCTCCGTGTCAAGCCCATTGTTTTTGGTTGAATTTGCCGGTGTGGGCTCTAGCTCCATCGTGCTGGTAGTACTAGGTCGTCCCCGCCTCAGGTTGCCCTGAACTTTGCTTGAACCACCATATCTTTGTTCTCATTACATAAAAAACACCGTCCATCTGGAGCAGCATTTTGCGATAGTCCGCATCATTCACGATCACGCTCTCGATCACTTCCGTTTTGCCAGCCACAGTTCCGGTGCGTAGACCTACATTCGGTCGCTGCACTCTGCGCTGCACCGGCCACATCCCTACCTTGCCATCAAATTCGTACTGAACACGTTGAGTTGGAGGACGAGCACTTGCTTTCTAAGGTGCCGCTAAACCTTTCAAACAGGCGCCTACTCGCGCAGCACGCCGAGTTTCCTTCGGGGTAAGCTTACCATGCCTACTGGACCTCACCATCTCGATACTGAGCGAAAAAAGCAGAGAGTCGGTGCCATATTCAATGAAAATTCAGAGTGGAAGTCAGGTGACAATTGCGGTTGCGCGTAGGAAGTTGACCGCTAGGGGCCGAAAATGTGTTATGGTCCCGATGTCATTGCCGTCCAAACACCCTCTCCCTCCCCTCCACCCCCCACCCCCCCACCCCCCCCCCACCCCACCCCTTCATCCTACCATCCGCTCTAACCACTGAGCGATTGTGTAGCTGTGATCCAAGCCGAGACCGTTATACCATTACAGTGGTCAATTGCTGTTGTGCTTTGGTTTCCTCTTTCTTACAGGAGACCATTCTCGATTGCATTAGCAATGTGTCGGTCAAGTTGTTGGATATGGAAGGCTGGGTTGGAGCATTTTCCGAATGCAGTGATGACCTTATCCGACAACTCATCAAGGTGAGAGGCTGCTGTTTTTAACCAACCGATTGCAAGTGAGGCGCATTGGCGTTATCAAAAATGAAATTCTCAGGAAAAACCTCAGAATTTAGAACTGTATCAGCTGGCCTCGTGATACTCACAGACTTCTTCACAATGCTCCATTACAAGCAAACATTCAACGGAATATAATCAGTGTAGTCGTGTCACACTAAGAACGTTTCACCATTCAGCAGAAACCCGAATATTCTCCACTCTCTCCAGACTAAGAAGAAGTTTCGCCACGCTAGGAAAAACCATTCCTATGCTTGCAATACTTACATGTAGTCTTTTTTACGACTTCCTGATGCGAGTCCGCCTGACCTCTATCGGTATCGCTAAGCAAGTCTGCGGTAAAAATATGTTCTTAGTCCGCGGATGTCATTTTGATTTGGTCTGTGCGTTAATCAATAGTAGTACAGTCGTCCCTCTTCAATCCAGTACCTTATAATCCAGCACCCTCTATAAACCAGCATGCCGTACTCGCGCGATAAGTGCCCTTTGGGCACTATTTTTTTCAATGTCCATCACAGATGGGGCACAATTCAAGAGAGGGCACTATTTTTCAAATGCTTGTACATTCACGTCATCCAGAGTGAAACAAAGAAGACAAAGAAGAACAGAGCCAACTATCACGACTCAACAGAAAGGGCAACAAGAACTGCGATTTTGATCCTGAAAACATCAGTGCATGACCGGGACAAGAACATCAGTAAAAGAAGATCGAACTTGCACATGCTCTTAGTACAAGCCGGGGGGGGGGGGGGCACTATTCAAGAGAGGGCTTTATTTGTTCACTGGCTCTTAGAGACTGGGGCACTATTCGAGATAGGGCACTGTTCAAGAGAGGGCTCTAATCTCGCGAGTACGGTAATTATCAGCAACTAAAATGTCCTTTTCATGCACATCGCGGCAGTGATTGAGATTTTTAATCCAACAACCTCCCTTATCCAGCAGAATCTCCATAGCAAAAATAGTGCCGAATTATAAAGGACCACTGGATACAGTGCTTGGAGAAGTTCTCTCATCAGCTGAAGTTGAGCAGGCTGAGGAAGATTATTCCTGGAGAGCACCACTAACAAAGAGTACACCAGGCCAGAACATCACCAGGCATACAAACATTCAGAGACACTCCATTTCAAGTGCGACAAACACCTCGAGAACACTAGATAGCAGCATGAGTCAGTGTCCCTCATGGAGGTGTACAACAAGTGGTGAGGACAGATCGTCATTTGCAGTATTGCCATTTCCAAACCAGCAAATCGCCAGTCCGCGCTGAGAATAACAGTCCGAAAAAGTGGAAATGGCCTCTGAGGAAATTTTACTTGTAAGACAGTTGGTTGCTCGCAACGTTCGAGCGTGTGCTTTTCCAACGTACTTGATCTGTAAATTGACTGGCTTACGCTGCTATCAGGAGCACACAAGAACTCAATCAAACCATCGCCTCGAAAAATCTTCATGGAAGCACCACTTGTGCTCTACAGGCAAAAGCACTACAACGAATACCAATTTTCTGAGACATTCTCTTTTCAGCATGACATCCACCTATTTATGGTGTTGGGCAAAGTCAGTGGGAAAAGAACAAGCTTAAACGTTGCAAACTCTGACATAATTATCGCTGGTTTTCTTCCAAAAATCGTAAGTTTGTTTCATGCCACGAAAGGATCAAGGGTGCTGATTATAGGAGAAGCGGTTAACTATACAATACACTGGTGCAAGATGTGTGTACTCAAATAACTCACACATGTCACAAATTAACACAAATGGAACACTGTAGAATGGAGGCGTTATGAACCTTACCGTACCTACACATCTGAAATGCTAAGTTAATCACAAGGAGGAATAGAGGTACATAAATAGGTTGCATTATGGACTTGTCTTTGGTAGCTTTAGGGTTGGTTGTATCACATTATTAGTGCTGTTTACCATAGTTTCTTGCTGTATTGGATGTCCAAGTTGGAAGGCTGTTGGAGTGTGCATCCAAGATGTGCTAGACCTGTTAGCCAGTTAGTTGTAGAACGTCAGTACCGTCGGTCAGTGTCATGCAATGTTATCGCATGAGCTGATTGCTTAGTAACTGGTGGTGTTAGTGGACATTATAGTGTAACTTGTAGTTCCTTGGTCCTTTTTACTTTCTATCAAAAAATCCTTGGCTCTCCATCCGAGTTCATTCTTGTATTGGATGTGAATTTTCGTTTCAGGATCTCCTCTTTTGTTCATATGTTTCATGCTGTGAATCAACACAACAACGTGGCCTCCTGATTTAAATTAACAAACTCCCAGGCCCGTCTCCATGTTTCAGCTACACTGGTTGATTACAATCAAAATTTCAAGGCCCTTTGTCGTTTGTATCAATCGAATACCGTTATCAAAATGCCATGTTTAGGATAGGCACCGTCCTTCACCCAAGCAGTGCTATTTGTTTGACTCTGACTTTTAAATACTACCTCCGACAAGCGAAACTTGGCGGGTTTTTTACTTCAAATTACTCGAAATAACTCACACTTTACAATCAAGACTAATGATTGACTCACCAAACTACAACTTCGTATTGCTCAACAAGGACATTAGAGACATCAGTTAGGCTGAATCACTCTCCTCTGATTCAGAGATCGCAGTTTCTTCTGGAGAGGAATTGTCCCTGTTTTGAGACGAAAGCGCGACTAGAGCGGATTCAGTTGCCGCAAGTATCTCTGTTGTGATCGCTCTGGAAATCTCGATGTCGCTCCTGTGCTTGAGCCACGGTGTCGACCCTCGGTGTCGAGGGTCGTCATTTCCGCCGCCACTATCCAGGTTGACGTGGTAAGAACTGTGCAACACCTCCACACGCGCCTGGACTGCAACATTTTTGCCGGGTATTCTCGCCAACTGTCCAAAATTTCAGGCAGCAATTCCTGGCTCTTTTCCTTAGCCACCAGAGACGCATGGCTCTGAAGGCTATTGAAAGACACTAGGATTATTTGGCATGGACGTATGGACTCTGTGCTGGCTGAGTGATCAAGTGAAGAGAGAGAGAACTCCTTGGTTTTGCATTGAAACGCGAAATCACGACGATTCTCCTTCGCAGAATGGACGCGCGGCGCGCGCGCACTGTTGTGCTGGTACACGAGAGGCTGGCCTGCTTCTGACTAGTCGAGCCATGTGCCACTCACTAGCTCGTCGCATGGCTTCCTGCACCCAGTTGCATGGAGAGTACAATTCCACAAGTAGGTCGTATACGCGTACTTCACACACGCAGCCTTGTGAAGTAATTTGTGGTACAAACACAAAAAAAATCAAAAAAACGCGCCAAGTTTCGCTTGTCGGAGGTAGTACGTCATTGCTTTAATAATAATAATAGTTACAATTCGCATGTCACTCATGGAAGGATCCATGGGCTTAAAAGGGAAGTTAAGGCAAAAATTTAAATTTCACCAGTTGTAGTCTTCGGGGTGCTGAGTCGAATGGTCTTGGTCCGAAAAGGCTGAGACGCTCCCTTCCTACTTGAATCCCAATCGAACTCGCGCACTTCCACCGAAACTGGGTGACTGTGCCCTACTAGATGGGGATTTGTATGCAAAATGTCACTAAAAGCGCCATTTCGTTCTTATAAAAGCACGGATGACCGCGATTGGCCCATATGTTGTAGTCTTTTGGACGCTGAGTCGACTGGTTTTGGTTCGAAAAGGCTGCGATGCAGCGTTCCTCCTTTACTCCCAATCGAACATGATTGAACAAGCGGTCACGTGCTCCTGCGTAGTGCGTACACCAGTCACCTGGTCACCGTGCCTGCAGGGTACAACTTACTAGCCTGTTTGACCTTTTTTGGGTGCACTCCTGTCACTCGAGTTGAACTCGAGTTGAACCTTGGTGTGAAAGTTGTCGCCTGCTGGCGTGGTGACCAGGTGATTTGGGCACCCAGGTGCACGTGACCACTTGTTCAACCATGTTCGATTGGGAATAAAGGAGGAACGCTGCATCACAGCCTTTTCGGACCAAAACCAGTCGACTCAGCGTCCAAAAGATTACAACATATGGGCCAATCGCGGTCATCCGTGCTTTTATAAGAACGAAATGGCGCTTTTAGTGACATTTTGCATACAAATCCCCATCTAGTAGGGCGCAGTCACCCAGTTTCGGTGGAAGTGCGCGAGTTCGATTGGGATTCAAGTAGGAAGGGAGCGTCTCAGCTTTCTCGGACCAAGACCATTCGACTCAGCACCCCGAAGACTACAACTGGTGAAATTTTAATTTTTGCCTTACTTCCCCTGCATCTGTGACGTCATTGCTTTGACTACAGTATTTTCCCTTTTCCATTCCCTCGACTACTGAATACTTTGACTGTTGCCTCAGAATTTCTGTCTCATGTCTGGTCACCATTACAGCCCATTCTCTCATTGTCTGCTTATTGTCACAGATGGCGGTTCAACAGCACAAGCTTCGTCCAACAGTAGTAGTAAGCCTCATTATTATGTTGCAAAGGAAAAAATGGAACTTAGAGTCTGTTGACGAACTTTTACATCAAAACATTGCAGCACCCCACCACTCTGCACTGAACAACTACATCCCTGTCATTATGCGACTTTACTATTGATGCTGCTCTGGGGCCAATAGCTACATTCCCAACCAAAAATATGCTTCCCACCCACTGGCGCCAGCACCGATGAGCATATTTTGTGATTCGTTTACTGGTGTTGGTTTTATGTGCATGTACATGTAGCTGGACGTTACAGATCTGGTGCTTGGGTCATTCCCTTCCGCCAAACGAATATCCGTGCGTGTACAACACGCTGTGCTTCACTGCCTTGTACTACTTTGTGTAGAGGGTTTGCTCTTTCCGTAGTTTCCAGTTTGCCTTTCTGAGTCTGCTGGAGCTTTGTTAAGATTCAAACACGTACCAGTACCAATTTGATTTCAACTAGTTCCAATATCGCCATTGGTGAGTGATGCAGCCACTGGGCTGGGGTCTGTGTCTCAATTTGAAGTTGTGACGTGCTGAACTCCACTTGTGCCATGTCATGCTACACAAGAGTACGCCGTAGGTCTGGTATGGGGGACTCCGGTATGTTTCTCATTGAGCAGGTTAGAGGTGTAACATACTGCTGTTGTCGAGTCGCATCCTCTTTGAGTTGAATAACTTTCGCTGTGAGCTCATCAATTGTTGTCTTCATGTATGTCATTTCTTGATCCTTATTCGGTTCTCTCAGAAGCCACTTCGGCAGTTAGAGTGGAAAGTGTAGTGGACAGATTATTTATTATACTTTTGAGAGCATCCATGCCTGGACAGCCATGGAGTGGCAAATGTGTTCTATTTTCGAAGTTCCAACAAGGTCCGGGCGGGGTAATGAGCTCCATTTCTCGATTGACAGTTTGCTGTGCCAGCTTGTGGAGTGGTAAATGCATGAGCAGTGTCAGGTCCATGTTCTGGTTTAGGGCCATCTTCAAACTGTTAGATACTGATTGGGCCAAAACTACAGGGAAAAGAAAGTCTTACAGTCCATTTCAAAAATATAGACGCATGGTATTTTTGAAATATTTCAAATTTGCCTGGAGCTTTTCGAGAATTTCTTTCGAATATTGCTCAGGTCCTTCCCCCAATTACTCTCTTATAGATTTTTAAGCGATAGGATATCAAACACCCAATTTCAAAATTGTTATGCACAAAGTGATCACAGATTTTATGTGGTATAGATGCTGGCCTAATGGTTGTTTCAAATCACGCGTCTATATTTTTGAAACGCACTGCAGAGGCGGAGCTTCGAGAGTGAGGGGCCAGATGCTCCTGAGTGCTAAAAATGGAATCAATTGTAAAGTTTTTTTCTCCTTGAGAAAAAGGAGGGTGAGTGAATGGTGACTGAAAAAATTAATTTATAGAAAAGAAAAAGGACCAAGGAACTACAAGTAACGCTATAATGTCCACTAACACCACCAGTTACTAAACGATCAGCTCATGCTATAACATTGCACGACACTGACCGACGGTACTGACGTTCTACAACTAACTGGCTAACAGTTCTAGCACATCTTGGATGCGCATTCCAACTGCCTTCCAACTTGGACGGTTCTAAGTTATAGAAATAACATAAGGAGGGGAAGGTATTAGTGGACATTATAGCGTTACTTGCAGTTCCTTGGTCCTTTTTCTTTTCTATAAATTAATCCTTGGCTCTCCATCCGAAATATTTAATACTAATCCTTTTTGTGAAAAAGGAGAAGGACAAAATGTTACGAGTTAATTGAATTGGCTCACCATCCGAGTTGAATCCTTTTTGTTTTGAGAAAAAGAAAACAATTGATAACCCCGATCACTGAGAAACTGTTGGCTTTTATAGTGTGCTATTTTCCTTGGTTGACGGGATATGTCCATGGCCATGGGATCCTCATAATCTAACGCTCTTTGAAGCATGGAGGAGCAATAAATTCCATACTCAAGTTATTCGCTAGCAATTATGGACAACCGCTGGAGGGACGCACATGCCAACCGTATGCTTGCATTTGTGTATCTGTGTTATTGCATGGGTATGTGGATGCGTCGTATCCTATGTTTCAGCAAATACTGGTCAAACGACGTATGGAGAACTGCAAACGCAAGACACATCTAGTGGTGCGTCTGCTTGGCCCCCCAGGCAGTGGAAAAACGTCACTACTCAAGTCGTTGCACAAGCGTCACACGTTCTTCGACAAGCTGGTCAACTTCTTTTTGCGTGATCGGGGGGACCGAATCGATAGTGCACGAACCCGCGGAATCGAGCGCTTTTACCACGAAGGCATCGTTTTTCTCGATCTAGGTGGCCAATACCGATATATGAGTAATCACCAACGCCTGACAAAGTTTTCCACCGTCCCAGCAGTGAATATCATCACTGTTTCCAGCGTGGAGACGAAGGTATGTGTACGTCATTCGGCTCGCCAGTGGTGTAACTTCATAGCATGCAGCTGTGAAGATGGTGAGGAGAAAGGCAATGGGGAAGGAGGGAGCGACAAGACAGCCAACAAGGTGCTCATGGTAGCTTCCCGGCGAGACAAAGCCAGAGAATCGCAGCGTGATGTAGTCAGCGCCGAATGTGAGCTTCTGAAGGATACAATGGGCGATCATCTTCAGTTCATGGACCAGCCTGTGATCTTTGTCAATGGTGTTGACGAGAATTGCGATGGTGTGGCAAAGGTGCGAGACATCATCGAGGAAATGAAGAGAGAGGTGAAGGTGAGAACTGTATTGTTTTAAAGGATTTATTACACTCTGAAGGCACTGGTCCAAGTGGAATACTTTGTTTTTAATGTAGCATCTTCTCTCTGAAAGTAATCCGAAGATCAACAAACTCCTGGGCAACATTAACAATATTCCCATAATGCAATGAATAACACTATATGCGCACTCACATCACAACCATAGCTACGACTAAAGTGTTCCACAAGGTTTTCTTGCATGGAATTCGTGACTAAACGGAACGGTGAAACTACAATAGGATTTATACACTTGGAGTGAAAAAACGAGGATACTAGAATAGTTTATAGGAAAGAAAAAGGACCAAGGAACTAAAAGTCACGCTGTAATGTCCACTAACACCACCAGTTACTAAACAATCAGCTCATGCGATAACATTGCACTACACTGACCGACGATACTGACGTTCTACAACTAACTGGCTAGCAACTCTAGCACATCTTGCTGCGCACTCCAACAGCCTGCTTATTGTTTAGTAACTGGTGGTGTTAGTGGACATTATAGCGTGACTTGTAGTTCCTTGGTCCTTTTCCTTTCTCATAAAAATTAATTTATCCTTGGCTCTCCATCCGTGTCCAAACTGGAATAATTTTAACTTAATGGGGCAATAAAGAGGACGAGCTGAAAATAATGACATTTGGATCACTTCATTAAACAAAGCGATGGAGACGATGCAAAACAATCTAAAAGGTAAGGAGAAATATATGTAAGGAAATGAAGCGATGGAAAAAAGGTGATTCGAACAAGTTTTCGTATAGCACTCTTCAGGAATCAACGTTGTACTAAAGAACAAAATAGGAACAAAGGAAATAATAATAAGGTAGGGTAGCAGGATGCAATGACAGCACTAAACTTCTCTCAAAAAGTGTGCAGAAAACAAAATCATTTATGTCACTTATGCTCCTCCTCCTTATTGCCATAATATATTAATATTTTTGTCTCCTTGTCGAGTATTTAGATACTAGAATAGTAAGAAAAATAGCACAAACTTCGTAAAAATGCACTGGTAATAAAACTATGCAGGTGAGAAATGATAGGAAATTCAGCAAGTGCAGTGTCACAATGTACATGCATATGCAAGTGTGTGTGATTGCGAAGTGAATCTCGAAGTGAAGTCCCAGTGTATAAATCCTTTTGTAGTTTCATCATTCCTTTCAGTCACAAATTCCATTGATAATTGTGACAAGAAAACGTTCTGAAACACTTTACTCGTTGCTACGATTGTGATATAAGTGCGCATGTAGTTTTATTCATTGCATTATTTTTAAAAATATTGTCTCCACGTCGCCTTTTTAAATATTCCCATAATAGGCCATTCACACGACGTGTAAACACTTGCACGTGTGTGACCAAGATGACACTGGCAAACCGTGATCCAGTTCACACGGTGATGGGCAAAATTGGCAACGTCAATGTATCCATAGTGACCTGAAAATGCCGGGAAATGTTCAATTTTGAATTTTCCCTCGTTCAAGCACTGCATTTGCAGTACGCACTTTCAACAACCGACACTTTTCCTGGCGTGCAAAGATAATCGCGAGCAAAAGGGCCTTGGCCATGATAAAAAATCAGTTGCACGTGTGTGTCCAAGTTTACTGTATCCGAGTAAATATCCTTGGAAACGGTACGATAAAAGTAAGTTTGTCCGTTGTGTGAATGGCCTATAAGGTATACTAATGTCCTAAGAGTGCTGCACCATTTTGCACTAACGGCACCCATTCCGGTTGCTGTGGCACACAACATTAATTACACTACCAGTTATATGATTTTGGGAATTATTTGCGCATGGCTCTACTGCTGTTACTGTCTATCCGTCTCTTAGGATTTCATTTAGGGCTTGTTGATTTTTTTGTTATTAAATTGTGCCAATTTGTGCATTCTGTTTTGACATGCTGTGACTTGCAACAGGAACCAGATACTCCCATGTCCGCAGTCGAGTACTTCCTTGAAGATATCCGCCTTAAGTTCAAGGATACACCTGCTGTCAGCCTGGAGGAATTCACTACGGTGCTGGCCAATCTCATCTTAGGTGAAAAGTTTGAAGCAGAAGATTGGAAACTGGTGAAAAGAATGGTAGCCATTGCGGTCGACCTGGAGCAAGATCTCCATGATCTACACCAGAAAGCCGAGGTAAATGCGTGCGTGTGCACATATGTAGTATGTATGTGTGCGTATTTGTGCGTGCTTGCACACACGCACTCATGTATTGTATTGTATGCAGGTTTCTAATAACCAATCAGGAGACAACAGTCGTAAAAGAGCAATGAATATAACTAATTGTGCACTCATAACCACCGTGAGCTGCTACATTCTTCCGCTCCTTGTCATACTATTCCAGCTATGTAACTGCATGTTTTAGTCAGTCATTTTAATAATAATAATTGTTTCACACAAGTCATGGTTATGAGTGCATAATTAGTTTTATTCATTGCTATTCAGGTTTCTAGCAGGTGAAAATAGTACGGGGGGGGGGGGGGGGCTGAGGAAACACCCTGTAACCCATTTTTTCCAATTTCCAAAATAGACTTGTCACCCAAAATGCAACGTACCCCGACTTCACACCAGATACGTGTGCCTTTATGAACCGTCTGATACTATCGTCCACATTTTTCGTTGAATGGCCAGCAAACACACCAAAATGGACGAATGAATAAGGGGCGCCACTTCTTCACAGGGAGGCAGGCGGTCAATAAGAGAAGAGGGGCGCTGTGCCCTCCTACCCTCCTTTGGGTAGAACCCTCGCATGGTATTGTATTTTATTATTTTTCTTGGGCATTCCGAACAGGCCCTGAGGTCTTCGTACAGGATGCCCAAGATGAATAAATGTGCGAAGTTCCTGGCAAAATGAATTGGGGATATGAGTAGTGCGAAGGGTAGGGTAGGCATTTCCCAAATCGGCCCGATTTTTTCGCCTAACCGGCTTTTCGATCGGCTGAGGGAAATGTCACTTCTCTGTGGTTGACGTCACAGTATAAGAATTAGCAGAGAAGTAGTGTTCTCTGTCCACCTGGGAACGGGTACGAGGGAGCACGGTGTGGGATAAAAGGAGGTGCCCAGTGCAGGGTCGGCCTCTTTTGTCTTTGTGCGGAGAGTTGAGTGAGAGTGCCCCCCCCCCCCACCCACCCCAGTAATCATCATGTAATTTCATATATCATCGCTTTGATTATTCTAGTGATTTGATTATTCTAGAGTGTACGGATGCATAATGGCCTGGCGTGGTTTTCTGGTTGTACGTAGCTGGAGGTTTTGTTAGACTAGGCAATGGTTGTGTATAGTCATGACCACGGAATTGTGTGCAAAGACAATAAGTTGGGGCGCTGTGCTGTGGTGGCCCCCACTGGCAATGTTCACGTGTTCAATAGTGGTGTACATGTATGAGTGAGTGTGCGGATGTGTGCGCAACGAGTGAGTGCAGGGTGGACAGAGAATGTCCGAATTCGGCCATATTATATAAGCCCCAAAGTCAGAATTCGGCTCAAAGTAGTACTTGAAGTTACCTATCGCAGTATACACATACATGTACATGCACATGCACGATATAGAGGCACTGAAACATCAATTTTTGGCGATTTCATCGCGAAATTTTGTAAACTTGGTGCAATTATCGGGAATTTCTTGATAGCCATTGATTTCGGGTCCTTTTCCTGCTGACCGATTTTGGAAATGCCTTAAGTCGCAGTCACTTTTCGCAGATAATGGTTACAGAAATTGTATTTGCATGCTGTAAAGGCACTAAAAGATCGATTTTTGGCGTATTCAGTCCGAAAATTGCATATCCGGCGGAAAGATCGGTGATTTCTTCAAAGCCACTGTTTTCGGCGAATGTTTCGGCCGGCCGATTTGGGAAATGCCTAGCGAAGGATTCGGGGAGCGCGTTACAGCGGTGAGCACCAAGGAATGAAAATAGATTTGAATCCAGCTCGAGTGTGCACATCGGGTAAAGAAAGGAAAATATTAGCTTGGCCTCTGGTATGTTTCTAAAATAAACATTTTTAAAAAGAGTATTCACTGGTTTGAGGGAAAGACGCAAACAGGAAAAGTCTGGAGAAAAAATTGACTGTCACCACCAGGACTCGAACGAAAAGAGTGCTAGTGTTTGTTGCTGTGTAAGCAAACTCTACTTGCAGACATTGAGACATTTTGAGACATTTTCGGGAGCATGGTACCTATATAGTTGCACTGTTGCTTTCCTGTTGTGTGGCTGAGCTATCTACAACTGGTGTATGTGATTGATTCTCTAGCTTGACAATTGCTGGTGTGTCATCATCTCGAGAATCAGTCCCTTACTTTTAATTGTTGAGACTAAACCCATGCATTTCACAAAACACTTCAGCTAGCGATCCATTGTTGGGCCCAGTTTCTTTGTGACCAAAAATGACTGAAGGTATTCACAAGGTGGGAGCTGCAATCAAGGGTGTTGGAAGGTATTTTAGTGTGGTACGGTCAGCCATCTGAAGTACAATTTTACTCGTGGGGAAGGGATGGCTGAGCCGAATATTTTGGGAATTTAGAGCCCAAATCAGTGCATTTTAATGATCCGCGAGGTACTTGGGGCGTCGCACGCGGTACGGTCAATACCGTAGTGACCGTACCGTGTGCAACGCCCCTGGCAATGTATGTGAGCATGTGTGTGTAGCAGCAGCATGTGTCGTGAGGGTGTCGTGTGTACAGCATCAGCAGGAATACTAATTTAGGTGTTACGTTTTCTGCTACCCACATGTCAAGTGGGTAGCAGAAAACGTATCACGTAGCAATATGCACAGTGCAGCGAGTGCAACAGTGGACAGGAAAAATGATGTTAATGTAAAACACATTATATAGGTCACATAATTTGTGGAGGGTTCAAGTGTGTGTGTGCTTAGCAAAATATGCGTGAGTTTATAAGGTGCACAGAATTGAAACGTGTACCTACAAAGAAGTAAAAGATGAATTTGTGGCTCCGAATAGATCAGATGGCATTCACAACAGTTGATGTATGTTTTCCTGGTTATCTGTTTTCTTTGTCTCTGTGTCTGTCACCCTGTCTGTCTGTATGTCTGTCTGTCTGTCTTTGTGTGTCTTGGTGTGTGTGTGTGTGTGTGTGTGTGTGTGTGTGTGTGTGTGTGTGTGCGTATGTGTGTGTATGAGTGTGTGTGAGTGTCTGTTTGTCCAATGGGTACCTATTCGCATTTGAGTGTATGTGTGTGTCCATGATTGTTGTGTCAGCCTGGGTATATGACTATAATTTATGTATATGTGTATATGTTCTGTGTGGGTACATGTGCATATTTGCATGCAGGTTTTCTTTTTTGCCCAGGTGCAGCTTGTGGTGCTGGAGCCAACCTGGCTGATGAGTGACATCACCAGCAAACTTTACACACCCAACTATCAGCCATCATCGTTCATTACTTGTAATGAGTTTGGCTTTGCGAAGCGCAGCAATGTCGAGCAGGTTCTGGGCAACTGTACCAACTCTTCGGTAAAGTTGCCCGGGGATAAGGTGCTTGAGATTGCGCAGCAGCTGGGAATGTGTCATCTAACGGATCACGGCAATGAGGTGATGATACTGCCGGCCCAGGCAGAGAGCCGCACAGCTGCCCACTGGCCAGTTGCCGATGAGAAGATTCACCGCCACTACACCGGTCGCCGCCTGCACTGCAGATCCGGGATTGCCATGAGTGCAGCCTTGATGCCAGCCATCCAGCACTCCATCCTGACCGAGCTCTGTGAGACCGGAGATAGATGCCCAGTTTGGCAAGGTGGCATACGTGTCGTCATGAATCGCTATCCACAGGTCGACACGCTGGTAGAGATCCCCGCCGGACAGCTGGCACTCAACGTCGTGACACGTGGTTACGACCAGCAAGACGTCGCGCGCTTTCAGGAGATGGTCTGGCATCACATCTTGAAGCTGCCACAGCAATTGTCACCCGGCTCTAGAGTCGACATGGTGTTTGAAGATGATGAGCAGCTAAGTAGCAGTGGGCATCTTCGGAAGCTAGACCAGCAAGGAGAGCTCAATGCCGCGATGGCATTTCTTGCTAGCGACCACATCCGTGCCACGCATCTCTTTCCTCCTGCTGCGAATGATGTTGGCGCTGATCAACGTCGCAAAGACCCACGCTTGACACACCAGTATGCTGGCTCAGCTGATTGCCAGAATGCCAGTAAGTTTGCAATGTTTATGATGGGTGTGTGTGTGTTTGTGCGTGCGTCCGTGCATGTGTTTGTGTATGTATGTGTGTGTGCTCTCCTGTGTGTATATGTGTGCACGTGTGTGTGCACGTGTGTGCGTGTGTATGACTTGTGTGTGTGTGTACATGTGTGTATGTGTGTGTGTGTGTGTGCTTGTATGTGTGTGTGCATGTGTGTGTGTGTGCGTGTGTGTGTGTGTGTGTGTGTGTGTGCGTGGTGTGTATGTGGTGTGTGTGTACATGTGGTGTGTGTGTATGTGTGTGTGTGTGTTTGTGTGTGTGTGTGTGTGTGTGTGTGTGTGTGTGTGTGTGTGTGTGTGTGTGAGTTGTGTGGATTAGACAGTTATCTGGCTCAAGTCTTGATCTGTCTAATTCAGATCTTGTTCGCTATCGTTGCTATAAGAGAAAATCTGTGGGTGCACATCCAGTGCATTTACAGATCTGCGTGTTTCTCTTGCGACGGGCGTATGCATGGTACATGGTACATGGTACATGGTGTGTGTGTGTGTGTGTGTGTGTGTGTGTGTGTGTGTGTGTGTGTGTGTGTGTGTGTGTGTGTGTGTGTGTGTGTGTGTGGTGTGCGTGGTGTGTGTGTGAGGGTGGGTGTGGGTTTGGGTGTGTACACATGCATGCACATGACGTGTGCATATGCGTGTGTTTACTTCTATGCACTGTAGTACTCTGTGATACATACCCAAATTCTGTGCTAATCAAGCCATGGACTGACCAAAACTATCTAAACACACTTATACTGCATGGTGTATATTTTTACTTGCATGTCTGCTTTCTTGTGCTGAAGGTACGATTGAAGAACGTCGTCGAGCCTCTCGTCTTTGCTCTGCTCTCTATCAGCACCGTATCTTGCTTACCCAAGACTTCCCTCTGGTCGAGTGCTTGCGGAGGCTGAACCAGAGAGGACAGTTGGGGGGAGCCTTCAAGGATGATGTCATGAATGAACGTCGCACGAGTGATGCAGCCGACATGTTCCGCCAGGGCATTTGCGACTTACCTGACAGTGTGGTGCTGAGCCTGGTGGACGATGTGCTACCAGAACTACCGGCTGCACACACTGTCTACAGGGCGGTGAAAGACTGCCCTGGGTACTCACAGTGCAAAATACCTCCTCATCATACTCATGCGGCCGGTAAGATATGATATCTATTTCATAAATTTATTATTTTTCTCGGAATGCCAATATTCGCTTTGTAAAGGAAAATGCTAGTTCCCGTAGACAGAGGCTTGCGACCTGTGTTTTAATATATACCAAGAGTTTAATCGGACCTTTGCTCTGCATAAAAACATCAAGATCACGATTGACAAGCCTGGGGACTCGGTCCATTGTGCCCAGCTGGTTTGGAGGTGACAGGCATTGTGAATGCCCGAGGGTCCTCGACGTCTGCTGTCACCGTCCAGGAGCGAAACTGACTCATGCTGCTATCTGTTGTTCCCGGGCTGTTTGTCGTGCTGCGAACGGAGCGTCTCTGTACGTTTTGTATCCCTGGTGATGTTCGGGCCTGGAGAGCACAACATAAGTGATCAGGTGATGCTCCTCAGGCACAATCTCACTCAGCCTACTCAAGCTCAACTGACTCGTCACATGACGATGGGGTGAGTTCCCCGAAACACTGTGTATAGAGTAGGGAGTAGGGAGCGGTGCTTTTTTGTAGGTTTGCCGAGTCGAAGGTTCGATGGACACTAAAATATAAAGTGCTCATGTTTGGTATCAGAGAGGTTCTGCTTCACAAGAAACGTAGAAAAATCACGTGGAAAGCAGGTGTTTGGGTTAGAGTCTACGGCTTAGGGTGTTTTGGGTCAAGATTTCTACGCTGATGAGGTTCTCTACATTGAGGCACACGTGAAAAATTCACATGGATCTGCTGGATATCATTCAAATACAGGCAGAAAACTGCCAAATATGGACGGGAAAATTCCCAGTACACATTCAACGTGATTTCTCTCCGTGAACGTAGAGCAGAACAGGTTTTCTTTCAAACCGACCAACCACAAACATCCCAATCCCTTGATAAGACATGCAGAATCCCTGGACTTCTCTCAAAACGTTTGGATGGCATAAAACACGTGAAAAAGTGCTTTTCCCGCCCAAAAAACGTTCAACGGCACATGATTCTTGACTCCGCGTACAGCACAGTTCCACCTTGCATTGCAGTTCGATCAGTCGGCGGGTGCCTAGCACGCCTGTCGGTGCAGATCATGCAGGCTAGGCTGGTCAGTTATGTGAAGGTACTGTGCAGAGTTCGAACTGCAAGAATGCACCGTACATACGGGGTATAATATTATTTGGAAAAACAGGATATTGGAGGCGAGTCGCTGGAGCTTTCAGGAAAAACCTGGGTCAGGCACAAATGCGACTTTTCCTGGAGTTTGCTTGAAATCCCCGGGACCCCGGGAGTATTGATGTTTTTCAGAGATTTTCCCGCGAAAACCAGGAGGCTTGACCTGTATGTCCTTTTTGTTACCGGACCGCGAAGAGAGTTCCAGGAATTCTTCGCGTCGCATTCCCGTAACGTAGGGCATCACTACTGTTTTCCAAGGGCTGTTGTTTGGGCAACATCGTGGCTGATGCTATGAATAGAAGGATTATATATCCATGATTGAAAAGGCTTTATGCCCACGTGTTTGTTCGTGACATATCTGATTGATAAAAAATAGTATTGTGTGTATGTGTGTCCGTCCGTCCGTCTGTTTTCTGTGTGCGTATGCGTTTGTTTTGTATGCTGTCTTGTCTATAGATGTTGGGGTGAGTTCTGGCATGCAGTGTTCGGCATCATCTGGTGAGTTTTGTATGATTTGGTTAAGGTCATTCATCACTGACCTCATTGTTCTGCTACCTGTGTTGTAACAAGAACCCTATTCCTATGACTCCTGGGAACTGTTCCCACTGCCTTCTGTTGGTATTCTTTAATGCTGTCTCTTTCGCTCACTATTCTCTCTCTCTCTCTCTCTCTCTCTCTCTCTTTCTCACCTTCCCCCTTCTCTAGTCCTTTCCCAAAGATGCCCGCCACCGTTTTCTCAACTTTTGGTTGTTTTTGAAGATATTGCAACTTTCGCAACTTTCTTCATTTTCGCGAACTACTTTGCAACTTTTCCGCAACCTTGGCCCCATGGCATGGGGTCCAAAGGCATGTCGGACAAAATTAATGTATACTCGCTCATTTCATTTCAGAGAAACAGTAGATCAACAGAAGTTACGATATGTGCATTCCCTTTTCCGTGCACTGGAATGATTGATATAGGATACATGCAACAGGCTACTGGCACTGTGTAAAGTTGTGGTTCACAGCAAGAAGGGTGTAGATTTTGCTGTCGCTGCACTTCTGCTATTTCTGCTCCATTTTTAGTGGTTTTGCACAAGAACTCTCCAATTTTAAGTTTGAGCTTTTTCTGAAAATATGGATGCAATTTCAGCAACTCACACTTGTTTTGGCATTGTTGTGAAAAGCGTAAGTTGCGAAAAATTATGGCATCTTTGGGAAAGGGCTGCCCCTCCCTGTCTATCTGTCTGTCTGTCTGTCTGTCTGTCTGTCTGTCTATCTTTCTATGCATGCATGACTATCTCTATTGTGTTTACTTCTTTCTCTCTCAATTTCTCTTTCTCTCCGTCCTTCTCTATTAATTTTATTTTTTCCCACATTTCGTAAGGGTTGGGTATGCTTAGACACTCTTGGACTCTTGTTGATTAACCCTTTTGTGTACGGACTGTACAACTTTCGATCCCCTGGGATCGAAACTTTTCAAGATTTCAATCGATCGTAACTCAGTTATTTTCAAAACTAAGAGATGTAGGTCGAAGAGAAAACTCCCAGCTGTCCATTGAAACAATCGCTGAAGCGCTCCGATGTGCGGTTTTGGGAATGTGTGTGTGTGTGTGTGTGTGTGCGTGTGCGTGTGTGTGCGTGTGTGTGTGTGCGTGCGTGTGCGTGTGTGTGTGTGTGTGTGTGTGTGTGTGTGTGTGTGTGCGTGAGTGTGTGTGTGTGTGTCCATTGTTCTTATCACCTGATGATGGCCAAGTGCCGAAACGTAAAATAATGGAACTTGTTCGGATGTGCAGCGCTCTTGGAATGGGTGTGTCCACTCAAATTCCTTTGTATTATCGGTGTTGTGCAATTCCAATTTTTTGGTTTCTGGGCATGTAGTTGTGTGTTCATGTGTCATCTGTGCCTTCTGTATTTTGCTGCTTTCGCAACAGACAATCCGTTTGACCTGGAGAGGTTTGTGTGTGACATTCAACCATGGTTGAACAAAGTTGACGCAGAACTTCTGCGACGGATGGTGGTCAAGAAACATCTCATAACTGACAGCGCATCAATAGAGAGACTAAAGAGAATTCGGTCCCGGGATGGAGTATCTGATCATAATGAGGAGCTCATCCAGTTGCTCAGAGCTGGTGGCCTAAAGACTTATCGTGATCTCGGTGTTGTCATTGAGGAACTTGGGTATGTGGACAAGAGCAAGGAAATGCTCTCCATTTTGTCCCACACAGGTACGTTGTTGCTATACTTTTACTGCAATGTGTTTAATGGACAGCTGAGAATTTTCTCTTCGACGTACATATTTTAGATTTTGGAAATAACCCAGGAATGACTGAGTTCCGATCGATTGGAATTTTGAAAAGTTTCGATCCCAGGGGATCGAAAGTTGTACAGTCCGTACACAAAGGGTTAAGTGGCCATTGTCCGTCTTCACTGCTCATCTACTGTAAATATACAAAATTTCGGCGCTGCAAAATTTCGGCACTTCACGATTTTTGACATTTCGGCGGTGATTTATTTTCGGCGTGGGGTAGAGGGCATGGTATAGCGCGACAGATGCTGTGAAAAATTTCATCGGCGTTTTAATTTAGGCGTTTTGGGTCGGTGCCGAATATAGCCGAAATTAAATAGCTGCCGAAAATTTGTATATTTACAGTATATATTTCAGGTTGTGAACATATTGGCTCTTTGTTACTGCCTCAGGGATCATCGCTGGCCGCAGTATTTTGTTAATGATTCTTTCTTCTTTGATGTTCTTTCGGATTGCAATGTACCTATTGAAGGATGTCCAATACAGCAGCATTGTATCTATGACTCTTACTACGTACAGATGCGTTCCTGGACAATCCGTTCAACCACCCGTCCTTCATGCCAGACATTCACGTGTGGCTGCAGAGCATCCCCGCGGATGACATCCGCGAAGCAGCGCAGACGCAAGGTTTGCTCACGGAACACAACATCAACAAGCTGATACGCACAGATAGTTACCAGAGCAACAGGGAGCATAACTGTGAGCTGCTTGGCATCATCATGAACAAGGAGAAACAAGGTTACATCGCGCTGTGCAGGATGATCCAAGCCATCGGTCAGTATGCGGAACGGCTGGAGCAGATGAACAGCCTACTAGCGGAGTGCGATCGTGTCTGAAGGTGAATGTTTGTTACTTGTAGTGTATGTACACACATCCATACAAACTCATCCCGTGGTGGTGGTGGTGGTGGTGGTGATGGTGGTGCTGGTGGTGGTGGTGGTGGTGGTGGTGGTGATGGTGGTGGTGGTTAAAATTCGAAACCCAGGCGCGATGCGTTTTACTATCACATCACATGTCATGCATCAAGGCATGCACAAAAGATGATCAAGCATACGCAATCCCATGGATTGTAGTATTAGCATTCATTTTTTACTAGCACAGACACCACTGACTTATTGTCAAGTTACAGAGTACCCTAGCTTAGGTGATCAAGTAAGCTGCTAACAACTGTTGCAAAGAATGCCTGCCTGGCGACATTCGGGTTGAAAAGAGTTCCATCTGTCTGCAGCCATGTAGGGGAAAACATAGAAACCAGATGTACATGTTCCTACACGAGTACGAGGGCAGTACCGCGAAATCCATCCCGCGCAGCGATAGCGGCAAGGGCTGGATGAACAGCGATGCTGGTCGAGTATGAGTGACTGGAACGTGTTTCCCGTGTGCACCCAAGCCAAGGAGCATGCATGCACGCGCACACCATACAAACATGTACTTGTAAAGCACATGACTCGCTCTTTCCGTTGGTCTTGTATTTAAGAAACACGCGCCAAGTTCGTGAGCCAATGAATGCAGTGGATTCCGTTCCTGCCCGTCGTCAAGTGACGACAGGCAGTGGAATCCGTTCCTGCCCGTCGTCACTTGACGACGGGCAGTGGATCTAGTTCCATCACCTTTGAGCAGGCAGGACCACGCTTTCCAGCCCTCGCAATTTGATCTATCATTAGTCCACTCCAAGACTACAGTCACATTACATACGGGAATGTGAAATTACCTTACGTAAACAAATAAGGAGCGGACAGCCTGGCCTCTAGTCAAAGCTGTAGTGATATCTACTGCTGTATCCATTACATGCCTAACAGCCTGGCCTCTAGTCAAAGCTGTAGTGATATCTACTGCTGTATCCATTACATGCCTAACAGCATGGCCTCTAGTCAAAGCTGTAGTGATATCTACTGCTGTATCTATTACATGCCTAACAGCCTGGCCTCTAGTCAAAGCTGTAGTGATATCTACTGCTGTATCCATTACATGCCTAACAGCCTGGCCTCTAGTCAAAGCTGTAGTGATATCTACTGCTGTATCTATTACATGCCTAACAGCCTGGCCTCTAGTCAAAGCTGTAGTGATATCTACTGCTGTATCTATTACATGCCTAACAGCATGGCCAATGTAAACAAAGAACACCACCTACTGAGAGATACATATGAAGCAGTTGTCTGATGATTGCTTTAGCATGCAAATTTAATCCAATACACCACACCACCACATTGCGCTTTTGGCCGATAGAGACGAACCGGCCATTATGGAATCCAATACACCACACCACGAAAATTTAAGTCACAACAAATTTTACCTGGATCCTCTCTCTTCCACATATGAAGCAGTACAAAGGTACACATTATTGCATGTATGCATACACACACACACACACACACACACACACACACACACTTGTACTACTTGTACTTGTACTTGTTGCACACTGCCAAAACCGGTCACGTGGGTCTCCCCGGGAGAGGGGAGAGAGACTCAAAAGGAATCTTGGAAAGATGACTCAATTGGCTATTGAACCGCCCAACGGCCGACACCCCCTGAAATCCCCAAAACTCTGGGTGGACTTGAAAATGATCCCACTTATGGGCTCACCACACCTCAGTAAGTGGGTGAGGACAAGGTGCAGAAAAAGGATTGACGGCATCAGGGTATCCGTCCTGGGATCCAACTGCAGTTACCCCTGCCCCCAGTGAAGGTAATACGTGCTACTAGTGTGGGTGGCTAAATCAGAGTGGATCTGATATTAGCTTCACTAGCACCATTGATTACACAAGAGTTAATCTAGCCAGAAGCAGTCCATGGTTAACAGGTATGTATACTTCAAATAGAAAGTATATGAACCCTGGAACCAACAAAGGTGGCAGGTACAACATTACACCTTCATGTAGCCGAGCCCGTTGGCAACAGACCCAACACAATCAGGCATAAGTGTACCCACCAACCGAACTAGCTGGCACACACACACACACACACACACACACACACACACACACACACACACACACACACATGCACACACACACACATGCACACATACACACATATGCACACACTTGTACTTGTACTTGTACTTGCTCACTGCCAAAACTGGTCACGTGGGTCTCCCCGGGAGAGGGGAGAGAGACTCAAAAGGAATCTTGGAAAGATGACTCAATTGGCCATTGAACCACCCAGGGCCGACACCCCCTGAAATCCCCAAACTAGGGTGGACTTGAAATGATCCCACTTATGGGCTCACCACACCTCAGTAAGTGGGTGAGGACAAAATGCAGAAAAAGGATTGACGGCATCAGGGTATCCGTCCCGGGAACTTGATTTAAGAGACCGTATTTCATCAAGCAGCACGGTAGTGCTATTCATCAAGGGCCTTGAATTCGACTGTGATTTTTCACCATTGTAGCCCTTTCTGAAAGTGGAGCCATGTCCCTTTGGCGGCTCCTGACCATTTTCAATGTGTCTACCTTGCTATGGCTCAGGCCTATTTAGCTTAGGCACCTTGACACACCAGCGGGATAGTTACAACATATGTATAATTATTGTGAAACTGAACTTCACTCTTTGATACTCATTTGTTTGCTTCTGACACAGGGACGCACCTTTTCGTCAATTCCGGCTCTAGTCGCAAGACCGTGTTTACGCCTCAAAGTGGTTACAGCACTTGCGCAAGTGATACACAATGTCAATACATTTCTTTGTTTTTTTGTTTTTTTTGCCTCGCCACACATCCTGAATGTTTTGTATAGCAAATTGTCCTTCTCCCGAAGCCAGTGTCATGATTTTCCTGTCAGATGTGACTGCCATTTCGTTACAAATGACTGGCAGTTTCCTGCTCAAGTGCTGCTCTTTTATCATTTGCACGGTCGCAACATGAGCGCAATGATGAATGTTCTCCGTGGTACCTGGTACTAAAGCTGCCGCACTCGTTTCTCTTAACACACATCGCATCCCTGGTGTGTGTAAAATGTGTGTGAGTGTGTGTGTGTGTGCGTGTGAGTGTGTGTGAGTGTGTGTGTGTGTGTGTGTGTGTGTGTGTGTGTGTGTGTGTGTGTGAGTGTGTGTGTGTGTCTGTCTGTGTGTGTGTGTGTGTTTGTGAGTGTGAATGCATCTGTGTGAATGTGTGTTTGTGTGTTTGTGTTGGAGTTTTTGTGTATATATGCAATGGTGTGCCTATCCATACGGTGAAGTCAAGCAATGTAGATCTGCTTTAAGCTCTTCTGGTCTGATGTGTGTGTTCCAGTGTTGTACGCTTTTCCAATGCTCATGGCTATCCTTGTGTATGCTCGTGCATACTTTTTATATGATTGTGTATGCTTGCTAGTTCTCTGCTGCTTCTTGCGCTACATGACCTTGCCCCGTCTTTGCTTCGCCTAGTCATGTCGTTGACGAGTTCTTTAGAAGCATTGCAATCTTTGCCGACTCAAAGTCCTTCATGTTTATCACGGTTTTTTTGCCGCCTGCTGCCTTTTGTAAATTTGCTCATTTCACCAGCAAATTCCTGCTTACTGTTAGTTGGTTCTTCCTCCTCCCCTCCTCCCCCCCCCCCCCCCTCCCCTCCTCCCCTCCTCCCCTCCTCCCCCCCCCCTCCCCTCCTCCCCTCCTCCCCCCGCTAGATTTGCTGCCATGGTTACAGAGCTGACGACGCATTTGCTGTGCAAGGAGGCACTGTTTGTGAGTTTTGCACTTTGTAGGCGCTAGTCTAGGTCAGTTTACTCAGCTCTTCGTTCTTTCCGTATTTCATCACTTCTATTTTGAAGAGTGGTTTCCAAGATCCTGTTAGTTACCAGGTCTCTGATGCAACTTACTCGGTTGATGTTGGAGGCCATGCATGCAGACTTTATGTGTTCTTCAAGGCCGGTTGTAGTGGTTAGCAGCGGTTCCCGCATGGGTACCATGCCAACGCGTAGTTGCCGAGGCTACTACGGACGCTTGTAAGTATTCACAAACTCAATTTGCTACATTGCAGTTTGTGAATACTTATAATCATCCCAGTAATTAGTAGTAGTATTCTTTTATTGATAGTGGAGAAACCAAAACAGGCACATGCCTAATAACAATGGACCCACTGTGTAGGTGGAGGAGGGGGGGGGGGGGGAGAGACATGGCTAATGGTAAATAGTGGCGGCGAAATAGAGCAGTTCCAGCACAGCTACAGAAACATGGGCGTAAAGCTAAAAGCAGGCAAGAATGTGTTGCCAAGCGCTTGACTTGATTCATCCTTACATTTACTGTAGTAGTAGCCATGGTAACAGACATTACATTACATTTACTGTACATGCAGTAGTAACCATGGTAACAGACATTACGTTACATTTACTGTACATATAATAGCAAGAGTACATGATTGTACTCTTGGTAGTAGTAACAGACATTACATTACATTGCATTTACTCAAACAGTCAACCAGGGTATCGACTCCGAGATCTGCTGAAAACGTTGCACGGCCCACCATCTGGACTACACAGGAAATAGTTATTTTTCTTTCTTTTACCCTGAATCATGAACGTGAGTCATGCCCGAAATTTTTAAAACTCATGCAATGGTGAATCTGAACTGGGGGAAATGTACAGTGCTGCCAACTGAAATCCGACCCCCTCAGCGGTGCGCTCACATCGCAATGACCCAACACGGGATGGCAAAACTACGAAGCAGAGACTGAACCCACGGCTCAGGGGGTCGGATTTCAGTTGCCAGCACTGTATTTGCGGCAGGGAGACTATGCATGCATGTGTGACTTTTCTACTGAGCAAGACTCCATGAGCAAAGACATAATTATTATTATTATTAATCTGATTCTGTACAGCTTAGCTAGGTCTGTTTGAAACAAGAGTACATTGTGACATAACACCAGTGACCTGGGTTTATGCTAGGGCTCAAACGGTCACGGTTTTACCCCTGACGGTTAACTGCTAAGCTAACGGTCGGTTAACCGGTTATAACCTATAAGCCACGGCAATCCTACGGACTCTTTTTTAACCGTATATTTGACTATACTCATTCAAAAAATGTACCCTATTCAGTACAACGCACACTTGTACATTCTCTTGCATGCTCATTCGTACATACTCTCACACCAAGACAGACCAGATATGACGAATTGACAGCCCAGAAATTGCGTACGCGTGCGACAGCTTGCGAAAGTGCACACTTTGCAACGACCTGATACTTGAAAAATTGACTGAAAAGTTACTGCGTAACCGTTTTTAACTATCTTTATCGGTTACCCGTTAATTCTTCGTAACCGGTCTGCAACCGGTTAATCGGACTAATCGTTTGAGCCCTAGTTTATGCACTCTTGATCGAAACTACAATCATGTAGGCCAGTAATGGCGCCGGACGCTGCACAAAGCTAGCCGTGAACGCACTTGGAAGTAGCCCAACTACTTGCAAGCTCAAGACGTGGATTGTCACTGCATGGTCATACAGGATGTCACCACACCGGGCCAGAGCATGCCAGGGTGGGCCTTATATAAAAATGGAGGCGTGAAAAGTTAGTAATAATTATTAATTTTAGTTACACATCATGTCATAATATTATTATGTCTGTGCACCATGGACGAGGGTCCTCGACGTCTGTCTCACCGTCCAGGAGCGACACTGACTCACGCTGTTATCTGGTGTTCACGAGGTGTTTGTCGCACTGGAAACGGAGCGTCTCTGTAAGTTTGTATCCCTGGTGATGTTTGTGTGCCAAGTGTCAAGTAAAGTCGGCGGCGCGAGCTCCGGTGTGGGGAGCAAACCCTTTCTTAGGGACCATCGCAAAAGTTCGCAGAAGCCCCTGAAACGAAGGGCATAGGTTTGGGGGGGGGGGGGGGGGGAGGGAGTCGGTGTCAAAAATCGCAAACCGGGCTTCAATTCAAAAAAAGTATTGACGACATGTAGGAGCTGATATAGATTAGCATGCTCAAAGGATACAACTGCATAGCTCGAGCTGTTCTCGTTCTTAGATCACCCACTGCAAAGTGATATCATCGTTGCATTTATAAAGTGCTGTACATTGTTACACACTGATACAACAATGCTTGTGTAGTATATTATAATAATTATTATGTGTGAGCATCCAAGTGAAATAATGAAGCCCATATTGTGACTGTCGTTTCGTTTGAGGGGGGAGGGAGGGGGGGGGGGGGGGTCAGGCCCGAAACTAACGGTCTTCGTTTCGGGGACTTCTGCGAACTGTTGCGATGGTCCCTTTACAAGTCATCGCCGAAGTCGCAACCACTACTTCGTACATGTGTTGGCCAAAACGCTGCAGCTCACCTGACCCTTTCCTTGTAGTAACGGCCAAAGCAAGGCGCTTGCCAGGTTTTTTTGTGAAAGAAATGCCAGCGTTTCGGTTTGCAGAAACCTACAGCACGAGCAGTTTGGTGGTCGGAATGCTACCTGGTTCTCTTCGTTGCATGCTTCTGTAGTACTGTTGTTCAAGGCCGTGTGTTCACCGGCAGCTTCAAGTCCTGGCGTGCTCCTTGTCGAATAGTCACAGCGGCCCTGAGGAGGCAGTCACTTGGCTCGTTTCGTCGAAGACGCTCTGTTTCGGTCTTGACCCAGCGTGTGGTGGTGCAACGAGCGACGGTAAAATATTCACAGTGTTGGCGGAATGGGAGACAAACATGGCCAAGTCTTGCTACCCGCCATAGCGGAAGGGCCCAGCACTTGTTCGCCTTGTCGTTTCTAGTTTGGTGACGCAGGGAAACGAAATGAACGGACCATAGCATTAGCAGCGCAACAGCATTTCCGAAAAATGCGCACGAGGCAAAACGTGAGTGACCATAGGCATTGGTGGTGCACCGGTGACGGAACGCCTCGGAATATTTTGATTATGCCGGCGCGCTCGAGTCGCTTGTCACGGTTCGGCAGTCGACATGTGCTTCCGACACAGTGAGAATCGGTTACCAGTTAGTGCAGCCTCCAGAGTTCCGATGTCTGTACAGAGTACCGGTAGCTGGTAGCAGAACCAGGCGACCCGGACCCCTACACCAGTGACAACAACAGTAAGTGACGCTTTGTCAATTGAGTATGATCTACTGCAGTACTGGGTGTTCATGTCTTCATCCACACACCACTTTACCAAGGAAGCAAGAAATGTGCATAAACCAAAATTATTGGGCGCTTTCGATTACGCATTCCAGACCCGGGCCCCAGTTTTATAATTCTCGAATGAACAGAATGACCGGATTTGGGGCCATGTAAACGAACAGCTACACGTAAAAATGGTAAGGCCACACCAAGTTATTTATATGTCTCGCGTCACCGCACGGAAAAAAGCACCCAGAAGAGTAAACCGATGGCTATTCTGGCGAACATTCTCTAGCCAGTATGGCAGATCATAGGTTATCAACTTCTCGATAATCTTGCATTCTAGGCTATGGTACGTACATGTAGAAAGCGAGTGATGAAAAATCTATTTTCCAAGCCGTGCAGTAGGGCCCGCTCAACAAGCGAGCGGAGGTTCTAGGTGTCAAGAACTCCGAGATTTTCCAGGATCGTGATGGAGCGGAATTCCACTCGACTCTTGTCCAAGTGCAGAAGGAGCCATCCATGAGATCTGTTACTGTATAGCTCCAGCCCAGTCTGCCAGCTGTCCTGTGGCGACTTGTTGCTGTTCTAGACAATAAGGGACAGTTTAGTAGTGCTATTTTGCGGCAACATGGCGCAGTACACATAGAATGGAGCTTCATTTTTCCTCTGTTTTTGTTCTTTTCCGCCCGCCCGCATGCTTTTTTTCCAGAAAATGTCCGACGCGAAACATAAAATTAACTTGGTGTGGTCTAAAGGGGATCACGTGGGATCCCGTACACCTTCGCGCGCGCGCACGTGGACTTAGCAAGGCTTGTACGTGGATGGCATCAATTCTGGCAGGTCGATTAGCAATTCTGCCCTCTCTTGAAAATTGACGGCGAGTCTGACAACGGAATTTGTGTAATCGAATGGTGCATCCACCATAACTAATTCTAGTTCATCCAGCCCTTGTCGCTATGGCAACGCGGGCTGGATGAACAGCAGTACTATCCTCATACTCGTGTAGGAACCTGTACTCTCGACATTGGTTCCCAGCTCTTAGTGAAAATCCTCCCGTGATCATATTGCACAAATGGAGATTTGGCCCCAC